TGGATCAATGTGATCTTTCCAGGCTCTACGAAGGCGACCCGCCGAAACGTCAGCCACCTCGAATATTGTATATTCAAGCTGCATTACTAACTGTATTGTTGCATGCTTCGCTAATATTCAATAAATAATATCAATAACACTCTCGGAACGGCTAAGTGGAAGAAAATACTCATTAGAAGGATATCTTGGGAAAAGACAAGCGGCAATCCTGACCGAAGCTACGAAGATTGAGAAGAAAATGCTCCGTATATAGCACCAGAACGAAATATTTAGTGTATCCAGAACATCATTGGAAGATTCCATTCGCACCACTAACCACACTCCCTTAAACTAGCAATCGAAATGAATATCTCCAAATGTTCAATTTACTCCCATCTAAGTATTGAAGTAAATATGATGTTCGACCGAGCTCCAGGATTGAGTAGGAAGAAGCGAGAGGCTCGGAGAGCGTTTTGAACGCATGGAAAATATGGTGAAGAAAACGAAGAGCATCCGACTCCATCACCACGTTTTCTACTTCGCAATTGGCACTGCCTTATTGCATGCATTAGAAGTAGTCTCCATGTAAGCAGAGTGAAAGATCACTTGGCTTCATTGAGCGATGGTCAAAAGGTTGATGCTAGAAAAATCCGGTACCACGCAAATGAGGGATAGGGCCCGGACAGGATTCGTAGTTTCAGTCTGCTCCAATGGTTGAAAAACAACGATACCATTCTACAAGCCAGGCTATCGAAGATAATACAGGGCGGATAAGTAATGTGTTTCAACCGGGTCCGATAGGCGAGAGCCGTAACTCACTGAATTCTTTGCTATGCCAAGCACCCACACAACTACCACCGATCAAACGTTCCGACTCTTCTACGGAAACCCCAGGAGAAATATATGAGGACCGACGGTTTCCTAGCGCTAGAAGGACCAATTTAGGCACGCTTGCAATCGTTGGGGGGAAAAATGGAGATTTTGGTGCCCGATGGAGTTTCAATGATCAACGGCATGTGATACAAGTGATAAGATACAAGATAGAAGTGGAGGGCGGTGGCCTAGTGGTTAGTGACGTAGACTATTAGAAGGTAAGGTGGTGTTCGATTCTCACACTATACTCTCTTGAAATCAATTAAGGAACGCATTGCGGAACGCCCCAGCCTGGGATTCTTTCGAGATTGCAAGGACATCTGCTCGATTAGAAAATTACGTCATTCATGAATGAAGAAATCCAGAATCAACAGTCGGAACAACACATGAAGTGTTCTCAAAGTGTTGTGGAGTTGCACACGAGGAAACGAATTTGACGATCTATTGTAAAATATCAGCGTAGAAGCAAAGCTACGAAGTATTTCGGTAGAAATGTGGCTAAATCTCATCTTTACTGTAGACGATTCAGTCCAAATTTCTAGTGTAAACACAAAAACGTATTCAGGCAGATGTGGAGGTAAATTCTGAGTCAAATTTCGCTCAGGCTGGGACATTTTGTTGAGAAATTGAAAAAACGGTGAGACCACTCAAAAGTAAGCACTGTGCCGAGAAGATCAATCTCGATAGAAGGTCCCATATTTATTACGACACATTTTCTCATACTTCGGCGCATTCGAGACCGGGTGTCCACTACATTGCTCACCGCAAACTGGGCACATAAGCGCGTGTACAGTGGCATGGCGCATTCTAAGCTCAGTGGGTTCCATGGTTTTTACTTTACTATTTATATTCAGATGGACCCGGTCATATAGTGAGATGATGAGACGACAGATGGACAAAACGAACTGTGGGTAGACTTTGCGTGAATACACTCGTCCGCGAGGGCGACCACTCGAGCGTTAAGCGAACATATTTATAAGAAGAGATTTGAGAATTAATCAGCTCTACTCGGAGTTGCTGATGTTTTACAGATCACGGTACGGGACGCGCGTCAATCACCATGCTCTCATCAATCCACCACTATAGATGACAATCGCCAGAAAAAGAATTGAAGGGAAAATGTGGTGGCGTTCGCACAAACCGTGAGGACAGACCGTACAAGTGTCCACGTAGGTAGTGTTTGCTTTCGTTCAAAAGGTCATTGACCTCTGATTTGAATAGCACAATTGCATTTCATTTAAATTGTTCTAATGGATTTCGGATATTGTATAGATTGTGTGGTTATAAATATGTCATAATAGATCAGGTTCGAAATATAGTGCAGAAACATTGTAAATGTTGACAGTACCGTGATTGTAATCAAGACCACAGTAAGGCCATGTTAACTAATAGCGTACCTATCATTTATACCTATAGTAAGATAGAGTAAAGTCTTTTCCACAATACTCTCTCGCTGGCAACTTCTCAGATTTTTCTATTGTCGAAAAGTTATCGTTTATTTTGGAAAAGCCAATGTGTCGCGACGATGCCAAAATTACTTGTATTAGGTTGGGCTATGCAGTCTCGTAGGGGCTAGTACACCTACGTAATGAGCAATTTAGGCAAGTAGTGATTGACTGCTACTATTATGTTACAGTGCAGCTTGAGTATAGTTGGTTTGAGTAAGCGTAACACCCGAAAGGTCATCACAGTTGCAATTAGTGTTTATTAGGGGCCAAATTTATTCAAATTCCATTAGAAAGAAAGAGGGATGGGCGGTGAACGATTAGTTAGTATAGGTCACCGGAAGTTATTAGTAAGCAAGATGCTGCTATAATTCTCCTGTAATTCTCCGGGAAAGTCTTAGCCTGACTGTCCTTAACATCGCAAAAGTATTCAAATCGACCAGAATTTCATAATATTCGTATAGATAAAGAATTCTTGAAGAGGCAGTCGAAACAAAGAGAGAAATGTTTGAACATCTCTGAGGCGATGAATAAGAGCGAACCAAGCGAATGCTAGATGTACAGGGATTCGCTCGCGTGATGAGTTGAGGGAAAGAAAATTTCATCAGATATTTAACAGAAATTATGTTTCATTTGAACAAACTTCATAATTTCTCTATTGTAAAACGCATAACTATGAAGGCCTGCTTCTGGGCTTATTCTACTTACAAGATATGGCAAACAAGTAAGATGGGCTCTGTATTCAACTTGTACATGGATATCCTATGTTCTAACACCTCACTGCAGATCCCTATGCGTGTAAACTCTCATGAATTGTAGAACACCTCCTATTCATTTTCTCCATGTAATCAGCCTGAAATGATGACTTGAAAAATAGTTTTTTTGGTGATCATATCGTTGAAACGGCCAAGTTTCAAAGAAGAAGAGATGATGATTGAAATCAAGATTGCTCGTGACGTAATGGACATAACCAGTCAGTTCGTCACAAATTCTGTCCTATAATATCAACATTTACTTACTTACTTGGATACTTGAACGGTCAGTCTTCACTAACAATGCCAGCCAGAGCACAGGGAAACTGTGCTGATTTAGCTGTTTCGTTCCCTGGAATCCTGAGGTAAACCTAGTCGAGGCTTTCTCAAGTCATCGTCACATTAGAGCAGTCGCCGACCTTTGTTGATGAAGGGCGATTATCACCTTGCGATGTGGTTTTTCCTGACATAGTTTACTCGTAGTGAGCTTTCCGTGTGGAAACGTCGGACTCCTTCCTAACCTTGATGACTCTGCTGAGGAGGAGGGAAATTGAAGCACTCGTTATACTTCGCAGTCCGACACCGAGGATCACCTCCCAGCCACGATCAGGCGGTAAACCATTCAGGAGGAAATCAACATTTTTGTGCATATATTCTCTGAACATTAGATTAGTATAGTACGCCACCTCCTTTTCTGTTCATTTTATAATGTATTGATATTATAGGAAATAGTTTCTGCTTAGCGGATGGTCTCATGCATGTAGTAAGTACCTCCTCTCAATATTATTTACGGTTCCACATGAACCATTGCATTTCAAATTCCTTGACAGAAGGCCTGCGTGTTTACACTTTTTCAGTATCTCCACTATCTATCAGGGCTATTAGCATCAGTTGGCTCTACTGCGAGACTTTCCCCAGCCCACATTTCTGAGTGATAATGCAAAACTATAAACCTCGAGCGGGAACTGAACCAACGTCTCAGCGATACTAGGGACCACTTCACCACTACACCACCGAGGCCATTGCCTGCCATCCTCCTTCTGCAATATGGGCTATCGAAATTGTTAGCAATCAATCGTCGACGAGTATGCTCTAGTATACGGGTAGCGACGTTGCACCCAGTCTACTGCTCCGCGATATATATATATATATATATATGTATGTATATATGTATGTATATTTATATATATATATGTGTACATGTATACACATGTATATTTTTATATGCATTTATACATATGTGCATCTGTATATATATATATATTTATTTATATTTATATATATATATATATTTAGGAGCGCCGTGGCCGAGTGGTTGTGATGCTCGTCGTGACGCACGTGAAGCCGAGCTCCACCCCAAGCACTCTCCGGCGGTCAACAAGGATGCTCTATGGAACGCCACAGGCAGGCTATCCTCGAGATTACAATTAGACATAACCGATCAGTATTCTACGTTCATTCAAGAGGAAGACGAAAAGCGAGTCGAATGCTAGAAATACTGGGATCACCACAATAAAAAAAATTTCTGATGTCGGGTGGTGTAAATGGATTGAATATATGCGATTTACGATAACTTTTCTTCGCTTTTGTGTTAGTGTTACGATGTTACCTGCGCATATTCAAAGATGCTGAGTGATGCGTAAGGCTTTGCTGACCTCAACCGAGAGTTGAACTCGCATGTCACCCATACCACGGGTTCGTTTTGTCACTGCACCACCTAGCCCGTTGCTCTACTATCACTCTTCCTGCTGAATGAAGTATCGAAGTTGTCAGCGACCAATCGTCGATGGGTTTCCTCTCACACATAGCGGCATTAAAGCCATTCAAGTCGATAGTTAGATTCGATGCTATATGTAATCTACAAGAAATTCTTACTTTACCGCTATTGTAGAAGTGTTATGAAGTCATAAGTATGAATCTAGTTATGCTGAGTGACATGTAAAACTTCTCAAGCACCGCGCCGGAGTTGAACCCTCGTTTTATCCTTACCAAGGCGTCGTGTTACCACTACACCACCGAGGTGCCGTTGTTCTGCTCAACATTCGGGAGGGTGGGGACAAACCTGCACTGTCTCCGCGTTTCGGACGAGTTGTCATGTGCCCACCCTTCGACGATCGTGAGCATCGTATTTTTGAAAAATTATTTCCAGAATTTTTTCCCCTGTGTCTTTCGTTCATCTCCTTCTCGAGCTGTTACGGTGTGAATCATTCTTTCCATACTGATTCTCCTCACCAGAGGTCCTCTTTCTGGAAAATAATTCGATCTCTTTTATCCTCGCGTAGATCAGCAACCGATCGACCCTGCCATGGGATCGATCTACCGAGTTTTTTTACTCTTATATTTTATTTCCTCCTCCCAAAATCGGTCTGGTTTTCGGTTCTTGATCTGCAGAATCGATAAATCGATAATAGTCAAATCTTTGTTGACGAGATGTGACGATTTCCCCTTTTCCACTAGCCTCGGGCTCTTCCTGATTTTGTAGATCATAGGAGGACATGTTAAGGGAGTTTAACAAAGATCCTTGCCGACGAATCTGCTCAGTTTATAGGAGTAGTTCACTTATAATCGATAATCAGGATGATCCGAAAGGATGGTGCCGTCATCTCTTACTTCTCATTCTTCGTCAAAGTGACCAACTCTTCTATCGATTTTTCTTCTTTTATAACAAAAAAGATCTTTTTGGTAAGTGACTGTCTCGTGATTCAGGAATGGCTGGTGAACCGATCCAACCGTGTCCATCATCGGAATTCCCGTCCGATGTTCTCATTGATAAATCCGAAAGCCAACAGGTTTCGCGCCACTTTATCGACTTTTCCGTCTTTTTTTTCGATTTTTTCTTCTGTCTGTGTCGAAGGTCATTTAGTCAGAAGATTTCCCCCGTACATGTTTTATTCGCCTTATTTTTGAAAGCGTTATACTTGTCGATTTCAGCCGGAATTGCTCGAAAAGTACGGGGAATGCGGTGATGGTCGAAACGTTCTTATCGCTATTCTGGATACTGGAGTCGATCCTTCACTTCCAAGCTTACAGGTTCGATCGGGAGACAATCGTTTGTCTCAACTCGTATAGTCTTTGTACGTAAACACACACAATATCCAACTTCAGAGGATGCTCAAGCATCTGTATCTGCGCAAACATCGTTCTTTTCGCTTACTTTCTAGTAACAGGGCGACGATCTCAGTATTTGCAGTCCACTTACTAAGCCTAAGTAGCTGGGCACGAGGTATTAGATCAAAAGTACAAGGATATCTGATAGAGTAAACTTTACAGCACATCGTTTCAATGGGTGTAAGTACGACATGAGCACGTGTGGCGCAGTAGTTAGAGGTGCTCTGCTATGCACACGTAGTCAGTTAACCCTTTGGGGATCGTGGACCCACGGCCTCTGCATGTCTAAGTGGCAGCTCTGAACGGTCTGTCCATATCCTCTTCATCTTCAACCCCCAGCATTCCATTGTTACACGCGACAGGATGCCTTTGTCACGCTGGGGGTTAGATATGCGGAGGAGGTAGGGCAGGCTCTTCCAGAGTTGCCAGTTAGAGATACAGAGGCCGTGGGTCCACGGCCCCCAGAGGCTTCAAGGGTTTGTGAAATTCGATATTCAGTCCCGCCGCGCCCAAGGCTCACCATGCCGTCCATCCCTCCGTGGTCCGTGAATTGGTACCGGACCTGTCTGGAGGGTTAGCAGCTTTGACTCAAGGCATCAGTAGGCTACCGCGAGTCATTGTAAAAGCCAAATGTGCATTCATTCACTTTAAACAATGCTAGATAGCGACAATGTGCGGGGCGTCCCGACAGGATTGATCGACGCTGACAGGTTTATCCTTTGTTCTTTTTTTTTGATGCCAGAAATCTGATACATATCCATCGAATCAAGTTGAAGTTTTCGAGAGCAAGTATAGACCGGCACATGAGACCATCGCGTTAGAATGATAATTTTCGGTGTATAGAGCGCAAGGGGGGGGGGGGGGAGGCTGTGATGGCAAAAATGCTCTGGTGGAGTCGATCCTACAGCCTCCCAACACTACCAATCAATAACGAATACCTTACGGAGCGTTCCAGCCTGACTGACCTTGAGATTGCAAGGAGACGTGCTCGGCCAGTACCATAAGACGTTCTTTCAGAAGTTGAAAACGTCAGGCAAGTGAGGAGGCGAGTAGAATGCTGCTGGGACTCACGCATCAGGAAAGAAACTGTGTTGCGGGTCAAATAAGGTGATAAAGTAGAGAAAGAGCGCGAGTAGGCGTTTGCTGGGAAAGTTCTTAGAACTTTTGTGACCTCAAAAGTTTTGGCCCTGAGTAGGAGTTGTAGCCGCATCTACCCATAACTGGGGCACATTCTACTACCACTACACCACCGTCCTGCTACTACTTTTCCTTCGATATGAGTCATCGAAGCTCTCAACAACCAACCGTCAGTGAGTTGGTTTGCAATTCACATTGACTTAAAGTCACTTATTGCTTTTTATCGAAGAAGATGTGTTAGCCGAACGGTGGTATCGGTGGTGTAGTGGGAGTACGCATCGCTGCTGTGGCTGAAACGCTGGTTCAACTTTTATCAGGGGTCCGACGGTTTCCATATCGCTCAGCGTGCTTGAAAATATATTTACGACATAGCGCAGTTATTAAGAAAGATAAAATAAAGATGAGAAAGAGCAAAAGAAATGAAGAGATTCAGAATAGAAGTAAGAGAAACGTACATCTAGCACTGGAAGTGCCATACCAGATGTGTGAAAGGGTGCAGAAAATGCTGTCAGATTATGTTGAATTTCTAAGCGAGGTCTCCGAATACTAGATTGAAACTGTTGATTTATACATATACATGCATTTGTACATATGTGTATGGGGGCGCCGTGCCCAAGTGGTTGTGATGCTTGTCGCGGCGCGCGTGGAGTCGAGCTCCATCGTTCAACTCTTTCTGGCAGTCAACAGCAGTGCTCTATGGAGCGTCATAGCGAGACTGTTCTCGAGATTTCAAGGAGACTCGCTCAGTCAGTATTCTACTGTGTCCAAGAAGACCAATAAACGAATCGAATGCTAGAGGTACTTGGATCCGCACACTGGAAAAAACACTGTGAGACGGATAAATAAATTAGAAAAAAATATTTATAAGCATGCATATATATATGCACATATATATGTGTGTATGCACAAATATGTACGTGTATATATTTATTTATATGTATATATACTGGCGTAAGCCGTAAGTCAAGCAAATGACAATCGGCAATCAATCACTCTGAGAACACCACGTTGAGAACTCTTTTCACCTGACGCAGAGTGTGACTTATACGGCGTGGATTCCGTCAAGTAACCGAATGGCATGTGCTGCTAATGACTCTTGTGAGGAAGCCGAAACGTACGTTTGGTACTCGGGCTGCCATACCAGATCTGCGAAAGGCTTAAGAAAATTTTTTCAGTAAAATAAAGAGATTTTGTGAATTAGACATTGCGAATTTGTTTGCTCTACTATAGAAAACAACAACTGGAGAGCGGAAAATCGTTGACTGCATTGATTGTTCTGGAGCTGGCGATGTTGAGACGAATGTGGTGAAATCAGCTGTAAATGGCATCGTTATTGGCTTGACTGGACGGAACTTGAAGGTTTCTATTTACATTATCATAAATGTTAGTTTTCTGTTAACGTGCTTGTGGTAAAGTGGTGAGAGGTGCAGTGCGACACGTATGATTGATCAGTCAATCGATGGTCGATGGTTCGAATCGGGGCTCAAGGCCCACTAAATCTTCCAATCATTCGGGGTCTGTGAATTGGTCCCTGACTTTTCTGGAAGGATAGCAGTACTGATTGGATACATCGGTAGGCCGCCGCGAGTTATTGTAAAGGCCGCATGTGCATTAGAGTCACTTCAAATGATGTTCGATGAGAACGAATGCGTGACAAATTCTTCAGGGATTGATAAACTTTGAGAGCTCATTGTTATGCTTTAGTGTGAGGTTTGCAGTTTGACTGTACTTTCCAATTTCCAGATACCAGGGACTTGGAAGAATCCTACAGGGAAGTGGCATCTTGGGATTAAACCTATTTATGAGCTATATCCGAAAAATCTCCGCAAAATAGTCAAGGTTTGCCACTGATTAATTGATTCGATGTTTCGGTGAAGCTTTTTAGAGGCGAATTTCTCGATATTTAGGAAGATTGGAAGAAGGAGACATGGGATACATCGCATCAGATAGCTAAAGCAGATGCACTCCGTGATCTTGTCAGACACGAAGAATCAGTTGGCGGCTTTAGCGATAACATTGTTCGCTTTCTGCTTTCGATTTTTGCTTATTTCCTCATCAGCTTGAATCTCTTTATCTAGTTTTATTTGGTCTATTTCATTATTTAGAAAGACAAGCATGAACGCGAAGATCTGGCATGTCAAGTAGAGTTCTTGAGATTAGTCGATAAACTGGAGGATAAAGGGCCTGTCGCGGATTGTATCGTATGGCACGACGGCGAGCAATGGAAGTATGTCATGTTGGTTTTTTGCTTCGCATGCCTCTTATTTGTTTTTATTTGATAACTTAAGAGCCTGCATTGATACGTCGTTTCGTGGTCGTCTGTCTCTCTGCCGTGCTATGGGTGAATATCGATATACTGGTGAATACGGGAAACTTAGTGATCGTGGTAAGAATAAATTAGAACTTTTACATTGTACGTGTGGCGTAGTGGCTAAAGGTGCTCTACGACACGCGCTGGGTCGCTAAGTGATTATCGCTAACTGATGGTTCGATCCTGAGCTTAAAACCCACTAAGCTTTCCATACTTCCGCAGTCGGTGGGCTGCTATCAGACATGTCTGGGAGGATAGTAGCATTGAACGGATACACCGTTAAGCACCCGTGAGTAACTGTGAAGGCCTCCTTATACACATTAACTTACCTCAAACGATGCTGAAGACGACGCATGTTGCCATCCTTCAGGGATTGATCAAAACCGAGAGCTTTACATTTTTTTTTATTTTGCTTTGTTCGATTTGCGATATCATTAATATTAGACGAGGCGTGCTATACATTCCGTA